CTGCGTCTATACGAGCGGCATATGGCCGAGAAATATGAACGCTGCTGTGGATTTTTAATCAGATCAACCTGGGTACATATATTAACGATTGTATCTCTCGGTGATCGCCGTACGCGATTAGAAACTCGAATATCATTTCAGCTGAAACGATAGTTGCGAATAATATCGGTGTTTTCTGGCAAAAATAAAGATTGAAGGGTAAGTCGAATGTGTGAATAAGAGAGAATAACAGAAGCGTAAACGCCTTCCTTTACGCTTCTTTTACGTTTCGTTGTCTCAATTTTCGCCTCCTAGAAGCTTCGTTTACGCTTCTGTTACTTTTCTCTTACATTCGACTTACCCTTCAACTTTTATTTTTGCTAGAAATCGCGCGAGTGAAACAACAATAGACATATGTATCCAGCACGTAAACGCGCTTGTGCCAACGATCCCTCTTGCATATAAGCTACGTCTCAGTTATATAACATGAGCTGTATGTTACCTCTGTACTTTTCATACACGTGACTTGCAGCACCAAAAAACGAAGACTTTAAGTGGGTAGGTGGGTTAGTCACAGCACCTCAGGTATAGTTTTCTTTAAAACCTTGTTGGAAAAAGAAAATAAAAAGTATCTCCTACAAGTTTTAAAATTCATTATTTTTATACTTCCCTATCTTCTAAGGATATAACTAATGTAAATTTAACCATAACATAATATACCAGTAAAAAATATAATATCATAGTAAAATTACAATTTATTAATGAGTACGTATTCTAAGCCCACATCTCCTACTTACCAACTTAAATATACCTTTAAACCACCTATCCTTTTAAAGGTTAAAGAATGACATGCATCTGTAATAGCGGCGATTGTTCATTCCAAGGCTCAAAAAAATATAAATTTATTAAATATGTATTTTTAATTCTACAACGAAATACACAGAATGTAGAAATAAATGTGAAACTTGCAGTAAAGTCAGAAACACAAGTTGTCAGATCCACTACTATATTTATTATACCTTTCAATTGCACTGAATTCTGCAGCTACGGGGAAATGTAAAACAGCGATGGCTTTTCCTCCATATTTCCGCCGTCTATATTCTCGAAGAGAACGTTTTGGATTTAATAAAGCCGCAAAAGTATACGTCAAATCGAAATTTTGCTTGTCTTATTTTCTTGTCTCTATTACCGGCGAGATTGGAGAGGGTTGGCTTATATCCCCTAGCGGACAACATAGCGCGGATATGCCTGCTACGTTATTTAGAAGGTATACCGCGCACGACGATGCTTGTACATCGCTCGATGATTCGAAAGAGGTATAACGACGCTCGCCCGGCTCGGTCAGCGCTGCGTTAACGGGGCCGCTCCATCGCCCCTCGCCCGCTTTCCATTCTCCAGCAGTGCGGGAAGTAGCGAACGAGGGTGCGCGAAGAGATTCCACGAGGGTGGCGTGAAAGCCGTGACGAGGGGAAAGTGACGAGAAGAAATGGAGAGCGTTGAAAGTAACGGTACTTGCATGAATTCTCGCGTTCGTCTCGATATTGTCGGCGTCGAGGCGACGCTGAAATTTTCATATGTCGTTGGCAACGTTGAAAGAATGCCGGCGAGCTGTTCGCTCATTGTATATTAATGAGTCTATCTCAGATATTGACGCTATTTGTATAATCTTCATGGTCTCTCAAAGTTCTGCGCCGAAATTGAGACAGATAAGACGGTCAGATAAGCGGACACTCTCTCTCTCTCTCTCTCTCTCTCTCTCTCTCTCTCTCTCTCTCTCTCTCTCTCTATCTCTCTCTCTCTCTCGCATTTATTTATACACGGTAAAAGGTTCAAGTTCGTTAACTCATTCAATCGCAATTCCTCCCTCTCATTGGGACTAATGGATATTATGTAAGTCACGGCAGCAGCCGTTCCGGTCACGTATATTCGCGCTAGAATTTATTAAGACACCGATTATAAAGGATATTACAAATAAAGAGTTTATTTTCTGTTACGTAATATTCATGACACGTACAAAACGCGTTATATCAAATTACAATTGCCAGTTACATCGGCAATGTCATTTTTCTCTTCCGTTCCTTCTTTTTACAGAAAACTGACGATGTCGACGACGTCGATATTTGAAACCCACGGGCGTATCCAAAATTATTTTTCGAGAGAGGTGAAGATCAATTTTATTATTTTATATCTAAACAGTAATTATAACAAAATATTTAAAAATTCATTAACACAAAAAATTGCTGTTTAGATACGAAATAACAAAACTGATACTCCCTTTTTTAACTTATTATTAAAAGCCAAATGATATAGTTGTGAATGTATTCAATGTCTCAGCGCATATTCGGACATTGTCCCAACATTAATTAACTGGAAATGACTTGCAAGGTCGTAACGCGAAAAGAAAAAAAATATTTTGTGCAATAGAACAAGAATTATTCAGCGTTAAAAGTACAGTTGTATTTTTTGTAATTAAAAAAATATGAAAAAACAAATAAATTTAGGAATGAAATTGAAATTCCCTCTTGAATACGAATGAAAGAATAAGCGGCGAAGATTGATTTTACGATAAATCGACGATCGGCATAGTTATCGCGCGACGATAACTCCACGAATGAATCGTAATTAAGATGTTAAACAGATGCCGAGCGCCGATGGGTATATTAATTAGCTGCTATTCATTCGCGCGATCGTGTATACCTATGAATCCGAAATGAGATCGTTCTGCCGTTGATTTCCTTTATTCGTTTCTACGCCGGATGCGGAATGAAAGGAGAAATTGGTCGCAGGGCTCGCGAACTTTTCCTCGCGATTAGCCGCCGTCTTCCCTTTTCCCGACGGGGTGGTTTCTTTACGCCCGTTTCGTCGTCGCACACACAGTCAGGTGCATTTTAGCGAGGCTCGTCGCATCGCGCTGAAACATACACCATCCATCTTCCTGCGTCTCGCTAGAGACCTTTCAGGTTTATTGCGGCGTAAACAAGACTTCGCGAAAGGATCGTTTGCTCACCACACGCCGTCAAAGGTACAGCGTAACTATATACTATTTTCGTTCGCGCGCGTCGACGGGATTTACTTACGACGGAATGTTTATCGCGCGGAAATTTACCAGTTTGACGCATCACAGGTAATTCGATCAGGTGGCGAGGCGCGAGTGTGTAATTAGTTTATTCGGAAACGGATACGTATGCGAAGTGCCCGACATGAATTTAAATTCCGCAACGTAAATGTGTCGCATGCACCCGCTAGTGACACAAGTATTCATTCGCCGATACTATTTAATGGACACGCAGGTATATACGTATATAGATGCAATGATGTGTGTGATTATTAAGTTATATTTATATTCCCGGCGAGGAGTCGGAATATAATATAAATTGGGACGTGGCGAATGACGAGGATTTACGGTCGAGTTTATTTCGCGGAGAACGTGCGAATGATGGGCGATAAGGCCGATGAAAGGCCACTGAACCGAGTCGGCGAAAAGTTTTGAAGATTATTTCGAATTAGTTTTAATTCGCCATAATTGGCCGCGGACGCTGGGACTGAAAGCGCGCGGCCGCGGTGGAAGGGGCGGAAATTCGTTTTAATTAAAATTGATAATCCTGGGAGAATGGATATTACGTAAGTCGCCGGCTGCATTGGGAATCGAACAAGTTCCCCTTCGGAAGTTATTTGGGATTGCTCGCCGAGTTACGTCCAGAGTTCTGTGTGCCTTCTAATGGCTACGTCATGCAATCGGCTCACAAACACACTCGGTCTCGGACCAAGCCGACGCACTTACGCAAGCACAATTGTGTTGTTACGATACGACCCTGTTCATTCTACTTTCTTGTATTACATCGGAGTCGTCGACAGCGATAAATAATCGTGGATATCCGTACTCCCTCTGTACATGATACTCTTCATATAAGTTATGTCCACACATATTTCTGGAGGATAAAAGCTGAACAATATCTATGCCGTAGACAAGTCTCGTTCATTGTGTCACAGTGTTACGTTAACTGTTGTACGAGAAATAACAGGAATAGCTGGAAGACAATACCGTTAAGCAAACGGATGAACAAACTTCAGATTAATCGAGGTCCTTTCGTTTAAACTTTCATTCTTTATATTTATAAATGATTTTTATTTATTTCTTTAAATAGACGAAATGTATATAAATTTACAAAGCATGTATATAATAAGTATCAATCTCTTTCTCTCTCTCTCTCTCTCTCTCTCTCTATACAAGTATCAATATGAATACTTAGAAGAACGTAACTAAGAATAATATAAAACAACTAATTGCGAAAATAATTGCAATTCGTTGCAATTTATCTGTTAAGGAGAAACTTGGTAAAAGAGATATTCCGCGGATAAGGAGTGGAGCAGTATTGTCTCAGCGCGCGAGAATATATATTTATATATATATATAGTTATTCAAGTAAAACAAAGCGGTACAGAACAGCTAGACCTGCAAATAGACAAACGGATATCCAGATAGGTGGTCTGATAGAATATCGATAGCGGTATATCTCGAAAAAGGAGGAAGGGAACACCGCGTGACAAGACCGCTCGTCTCGTAGCAGGAGTGCGTTCATCCTGCGAATGCATACACACAAAACACACATGCAAGAGCGGAAGGGAGAACAACGCCGCGAAGCGGGGTGTCGCGGGGTGCCCCAGGGGGAGGAAAAGGGAGACTGGCCTATCGGGGCCGACTCGGAGTTGTTCGGAATCTATCGGTGGACCAGATTTTACTCGTATATACGTACGCACATTCACCCCCGCAGCACGACGACGACGACGTTGGGGGTGCGTGTGTCGCTCCGTCCGTGTACGCGGGTGTGAGTACAGCTCCTGTATACGTACAACACACGTCGCTAAGACAAGTTTAACGACGCGGGGACGCAGGCGCGGTTTCGCGCGGTCACGCTCGCGCACTTGCGGCGCGCGTCGCCGGCGCCGTCGTCGTTTTCGCGAGGAAATTGATTCTGCGCGAAACGCGCAACGGGGGTTCCAGCAACGACGGAGCCAGCCGTGCACCACCAGAGAGAAGCCGGGCTCGGCGAGCCGCGCATATTCCTCTTCTCCGCCGAGGAACAATTCTCCCCCCCTCCCCCCGTGATCGAGTCACGCAGATTTCCAGAGTTCGTATACACAACGCCACTCAACTGCGGAGGATTATGCTTCCACCGTCGTCGCTTTCCGGGTGCACCCTTTCACACAGACGCCGTCCTGGCTGTTGATGCTCCTGCTGCTGTTGAAGAGGAGAGAGAGAGAGGAGCCTCTCCAACGACATGCGAAGAGACGCGTCCGACGCGACGACGACGACGGACAACGAGCGAGGATCGCAGACAGCTCCAGTGAGACACGTCGACGGCGACGAGCGACAGAAGTATCCATGGAACTGAAAATTCTGCTGTGGTTTCACATCGTGGGTAAGTTGTCTTCCGCCCTTTACCTCCCTTATGTACAGCACACGCATTATGTACACGTCGTCGGCACGCGTAACACGCAGAATCTCCCTCGTTACATCCGAGTTGGCAATGGTATATACCTGCTGTCATCGACAGCATGCATGCGCTCCGGGATATCAACCAATTGCTTCTGTTCTTCTCAATTCGCGTGTCCTCCCGCTATGCGCTGTCTTCCCCCGCTGGCTAGCTGGCCTCGCACGTTCATTGCCCCGATAAACGGCATCCTGTGTATAGATCCATCCTTTTGCGACTTGTATGCCGAATCGGATTGCTGCAGATTCTATATACGTATAGCTGTCAACCAACGTGGTTCGTACAGAGAGTCGTTTTCTTTCTCCTTTCGAGATGGACCACTTTCGCGTGGCCGCAGCGACGGCACCAGCTTCCAACTGTAAAATACGAACAATAAGCTCTAATAAGTTAACCGTGTGGACAAACATTTTGTATGTTTCGAAAATGAACGTTTTCATTGACACATTCGAGTAAACATGTGCGTGGTATACGTGTGCAAACCGACGATATAAATTTTACATACGAACGATATGCGTATTCGACTTTTCGGTCAAGCTATTACGTTAAATCCAATGAATTTATTATGTTAACATGGATTAAATTAAATTGCCAATATTAAGCGAGATTAAATTATCGCATTATCGCATCGAAGCGCATGGCGGCAAACTATAAAAATTTCAAGTTAAGCGTACGACTATACATTACCATCGTTAATTTAGCGCCACCGTAAAATTCATGCCTGAGTGCTCCAGGTCAGACGCTTTTTCACGATATCAGAAACTTTCTCCATTACGGATATTAGCATAAAGTACATGCATAGACGATGCGGTACGCGCGAGGACTGCGAAGCTGTCGTAAGAATTATGACGCGATACGCAAATGTCTGCCGCGGGCAGATCTTTAGGTTTTCCAGCTCACGAAATGGATTTCGTCCCGGTGTGATGGGCGTTGCTACTCGGGGGAACAAAGCGCAAAAACTGTTAGTGAAGACGAGAGGCGAGACGTCTCGGGAAAGAGGATCCTTTTCGCCGCGAGCATTGAACCAGCCGGCAGCGCGGCGCGGCGTTGTATCCGAGAGGAATGTCGGACGTTGGCGTCGGGTCGTTGCACCATTCGCCATAAAACGTACGGGCGTTCCCCGTAATAGGGCATTAACAAATTTAACGAATTCCCATCACGGTGGTATATAATCGCATTAATGACATTCTGGCGAATGCGATTTTATGGTACGCGACGGAGAGCCCTTCATCGCGCCGCCGCGCCGCCGGTTAAATTCGCGCTTCGCCTTCGGTACGATCTGGTCTCTCACCAAACTTCCTCTCTTATTGATGTTTTCTTACCTTAATATTAACGATTGTCGGCAAACGATCGAATATTTGATTGTGCTGAAACTTTACGTATACTGATCATTATTCAAGACGACTTTTACGTTTGCAAATGAATATTTCCTGTTCATCGTCAATCTTACGTCAATCTCGCTCTTCTTTCGTATAATATACTGTCTTAAAATATATTTACCGAAATCTCTCAATAGTTCGTGGAGCTCTGCGAACGTTATAACGACGAAGTTGTCTCTGTTTCTAAACCATGAAATTCAGGGTTCTGTCAGAAGCCGCGCGGTTCTACCGTTATGCTACTCATATGCGTCTAACGCGTAATGGAAGGGATTTTGTGCTCTAATTCGAGATTCGCTAATAGGGGTTTCAGTACACACACACACACACACACACACACACACACATATATATATATATATATATTTATAGAATAGTTCTGTCAGATAAGCTTTATCCAATGAACATTTTGTTTAATATTAAAGTGATTGTGAGAAGATAATGAGATTTATATATGATATCGAAAAAACATCCTTTATCATTTCACTCAGCAATACGTAAATTATCATAACAGCAAGTTAAAATTCTATTGATGTAGATATACGAGAACAGTTTAGTAAGTCAGAGACTTTTTTAACTTCTTTTATTTCAAAATTCGATCTATTTTTGATAGTCTCTCCGTTTCTAAAGTCATTAATTTTTATCAAACTGCGAACGTGTATTTCAGAACAATTCTGCCAAATAAGCTCTTTCCTAGCGAGAATTCTGTTTAATATGCAAATGGTTATGAGAAAAATAATTTATATTTAACGTCGAGAAAATATTCTCGTCATTGTGTTCAACATTATAAATCGTCGATCAATAAGACAATAATTGAAAATTATACCGATATATATGTATATATACACGTGTATTTCAGAATAGTTTTACTAAATAAGCTCTTTCCTAATGAAAATTTTGTTCAATATGTAAATGATTACGAAAAGAACATAATTTGAACATGATGTCGAGGAAACATCCTCATTGTTTCATTTAACGACACATAAATTATCAGACAGCAAGTTAAAATTATCGAAATTGTTGACATATTGATAAGAAATTATCATTTCTCGTATCTCTAATTACATATTGAAATCGTGAAGTGAATTAAGACTTTACACGAAAATAGTCTCAACGTTTCCTCGTCGCAATAAAAATGGATAACGGGGATGGTAGTATCGCGAGAAATAAACTCGCTGGAATTATATCATTTTCAATCCCTCTAACAAATAATAACGTTTGATAAATGAAGTGTTAAAATGTATACTTCACGCGATCGTCTACGTCATGGAAACCCGCGCATCTGACGTTAACAAACATCTCGCTTGAAAACGAGCACCGTGCTTCAAATTGAACGGATTCCGAAATCCGATATTAAGCGCGAGATATCTCGTCTGCATTAGCACGATATTTTTACAAGCGGGGCTATACTGTGTAAAAAGCGAGTTATACAATCCTTTTTTCTCCTTTTCCGAAAAAAAAAAAAAAAAGAACGAAACTTCGCCTATCTACGCATTTATAACGCAGATAACGATGTGCGTCGGCGGCAATTGTTTCGTTATTACGGTATCTCATTTTATCAGTTTGTGCAAAAAAAAAAGCAGAATTCAGATAACATTTCCGTATGCGAAATCTCGAATCAAAGTCTCACGATGCGTGCTCATTCTCGTTAGTAATAATTTTCGTCCGATCGTGCGCGCGAGCCTTTTGCCGGCACACAAAAGATAAGCTTCCTATTGGAGCGTATAGGGATCCGAAGCGTCGAAGCGCACGACGATACGGGCCTCCTCTGTGTATCTCTTTCTCTTTCCTACTCCGCAAATGCGATTCGTCGCTTCGCTCGGCAGCTAATTAAGCCGATCGCTCTACCGAACGTCATATCCGTTCTACAGATCCGTCCGTGCGATTGTCCGATCGGGCGAAATCGCATTCATTGCGCGAGAGCCGTCCGTTAAACCGAGCGTATCGCCATTAGTGTAAGCGAATTAAGCTGAACTCGCTCTCATATCGGCATCGAATATTCCGAATCGAGCCGCTGTCTCTCGAGCAGATTGATATTACCCACTTCGCCACTGGGTACACTGCGGACGAATGGAAATTATTGCGAAGCGCTGTTTGCGCATCCACTTCTCTTTTTTTTCCCCCTTTTTTTCTCTTTCTTCTTTTTTTTTTTATGATGAGAGAATATAACGTTCGATATATCTCGAAAAACACGGATAGCTCGGAGTAAATTCGACTCGTTGATGTATGTGGCCATCGTCGTCGGCCGAGAGTGACAGACAAGTGCGTTACGTGCGTGCGCTTATCTGTTTCTTTCGCACGACGGCACGTTCGTTACTTTCTGCCGTCACGACGACGACGCGACGGTCTCGGGCGGGTTGTCACCCTCAACCCTCTTCTTCCCCGTCAGTCGTCGCTATGCTTGCCGCAAATCCACTTTTTATTAACGACTAACGACCAGCCGCGAGAGAGAGTGCCCTCGTGGTTTTATAACTAAATACCCGTAAGCCCCGCGAAGTGCCTCTAAACGGGGTGGAAGGACATTACACTCCCCCTCCCTCCCGATCGTCGCACCCTTAATGCGCTGGGGCAATATTTTCCTACGATACTCTCCTCCGAAATTCTTCGTCCAATCCGTGAAACTGCGAGTCGACGTTATATCGATCCTATATATGGAAAGAAACGCTAAGAATTTCTCCTTGGCGTGGAAACTTGGGTAAAAATGTCGCATTGAAATCGCTGCGTACCGCATGAATCATTTACACGGAAACTTTAATACTACGGACTTTCTTTACATAAACAGAATCTCTAACTTGAGAGTTTACTGACCATAAAGTTTGTCACTTGATTGAATACGGTAACAAGTCACGATGTGTTGCGTTATATGACTCTATTTTTGTATTCATTTTTTTCAGACTATATTTACGCTTAAGAACGATTTCACTATATTTCGCAATATCGACTAAAAGTATCAAACAATCAGCCAAAATAAGTTAATATTGAGTAATATCGTTGCAGTCAATATTATTTTAAAATTTTGATAATATTAGCTCGTAAATACGTCCTGAAACAAAAATTGAAAAAAAAAACAAAACAACAAATAATTTGGCTTATAATGGTTTTATCCTGCAAAACGGACCATATTTGCTGCAGTTTGGTCAATAACTTTTAAACGCGCGCGAGTATGTGGATCCAAATAAATTTTTATACGAATATTTATAATTGTTTTATTAGTACGTGTATAAAAAATTTAATTAAATTCTTAATATTATACTTGATCATGAAATTTATAAATAAGTAATTAGATTTATAAATAAGTATTACAAAACATAATTTTACGTAAGAGAAAGAGAGAGAGGGAGAATTAGGATAAACTAAAAGATTAAATAACTTTTTAACTTTAATAAAGAATTGTGCTTAAATTTTACACGAATGCTTATACATAAAAATAGAACAATCTATGAAATTTTTATATTTTTGATACTGTTTTTAGATAATATACAGTCTTGGTCAAAAATATCGGTCACTCGTATATATTTTTTCATTTAGAATTTTTTTATCTTATTGTTACCTGTTAATGATTTAAATTATACAAAAGATTAAAATATTCTTGGAACAAAAGATAATTTCCAGGAAATGTTAAATAAATTTTTAAGCTAAAACTTTAAATAATAGTTAATAAGGTGCTTAAAATATTTTTGTCCAAGGCTGTATATCTTTTTTAAGATTTTCACCGATAATTGAATTTCTTCATTGATCGACATATGGAACGTTTATAAATTTATTACATAATCCTTTATGCAAAACGTGTGACATAAATAGCTGGAAAATGGGACATTTGGAAAAGTGAACGATTTTCAAACATACATTGGCACGTGGAAATTCCGCGAAGGCGCCGCGGCGACGAGATCCGTTTCGAGAACGCGTAAGTTCTGTTTCTCGCGTGAGATCGATCCCATTCCTCGTGAATGAGAATATTTGGTCGAGGCCGAGGAGGAGAACGGAGCAGAACGCAGGAAGGATTCTATTCGCGATCGATAAAGGATTCCGGCGGCCGACATGGGATTCGCCGAATAATTTCAAATCCGCAGATGAGATCGAGTTGAGTGCGTTATACGCGTCGCCGTTATTATAAGAAACTATTTCTCGCGAACCCGTATTATATTCGCGGTTGCTTTCATTACGAGGATTTCCGCGTAATGACGATGTCACTCTGATTATCAGCCGTGGCTGTCTGCGAAGCTCAGTGGTTCTCAAGCTCGCGGCTCAGGATCATTTGATCTAATTAAAAGATGAGACTTTTTCCTTATACGATAGAAAAGTCAGGAGAAATATAATCTTTATAATTAATACAATGTGAGGAAGGAGTAGACTTTCAAAATGCGCGTTTTATTTATAATTTATAATTTATAATTTTCAGAAAACGAGAAGAAAGTGACAAGGAAACGACGCGTCTTACAGAAAATAGCAATTTATCAATCAATGCATAAAAATGTTAAACAAATGCATTTCCTTTGTCTCGAGTTGCATATTATTTTGATAAATTTTAATATTTACGGTACATAAATTGATGGTAAAAAAATGTTCTTTTAGTTTTCAGAACACCGTAGAATATTACAACAAATATGAATCTTTCAACACTGAACACACTATGCTTCATCTCTAATTCAAAAAATAAAATTTTGGACAGAATGCATTTTGGAAGTCTGCTCCTCGCATATTTTCCATCGGGTTTTCGCTCTGTCGAGCGTGTAGCATTATGGCAATGTATATGACGATTAAAAAACAAATGTAATGTTTTTATACAAAGGTCGAATAATTACAATGACAAATTATTATTTTCATGGGTATTATCGAGCCCGAAAATAACGAGATAATATTCAATGAAGGATTGAGTCACGAAAGAGTGGGCCATAATACGGGAGTATCAAATCAAAGTAGACCATCGCTGGGACTTTAAAATCGATAGTCACAGAATATTATGTGACGTAGCGTCTTTACTTCAGCTCAGAGACGGGAGAAAGCCCGTCGTCACTTTTTCTATTTGGGAAACACTGTCCGCGAACGTAATCGATGAGGTATGCATCGCGATATTCAGCCGCCTCTCATGACATGACACGGCAGAAATTCACCTTCGGCTTTCATTTCCTCTTTTCCCTCGGGGGTATGAGTTGAGATTCGGATCCATATACGCGGGTCTCTGCGTCCTGCACGTGCCCTAATAACTTCACCAAGATCATCCGTCCCGATAAGCGCACAACGTGAGCTGGAGCATGCTGGAACGCCGTTTCAACGACAAACGGGTGTATAATACGATGTGCCCGCGGCGTAGACGACACGGATAAAATATAATTTTAACGAACCTTTCCTCTTTCTCTCTCTCTTTTCCAGGAATTTGTTCGGGTCTGCGGGGAGTGCGTATCCAGACACCGACGGCCGTCAGGAAGGGCGATTCGGCGACGTTGAAATGTTGGTACGACACCGAGGGCGACCCATTGTACGCCGTCAAGTGGTACAAAGGGGGTCGAGAGTTTTATCGCTATGCTCCGAACGAGAGTCCGCCCATCAAGACTTTCCCCATCGGAAACCTGACGGTGAAGGTAAGTTTGCCTTCTCGCAATCCCTCCCCCCCCCCCCCT